TTTCTACCTGGAGAATGAGAAGGAAAAAAATAAGAGGGTACATATTTATCTTAATGAGAAGAAACTTTATGTCCTCACAAAATCAAAGAGGATAAGGTAAAAGAAAACTATTTACATTAATAAGAGCATTCAGTATCCTGAATGAATACAAGAAAAGTACATAAGATCAGAGTTTTCTTATGCAAAAATAAATACAGTGAAAATGGTTTCCATTGATGACAAAAACATAAAAAGACATACATATTCACACAAATATTAACTAGAAATAATCTTAACAAAAATATGTATGACCTACAGGAAGAAAAGTATAAAATTCTATTGATAGTTATAAATGAAAATATAGTAAATACAGAGATGAATTATGTATTTGAAAATAAAGAGTAAATTCTTTGAAGATGAAAATTTTTTCATAATTTATTAATGAACTTAATGTAATCCCAGTGGGGCTTTTCAAATTTAACAAAATTATTTAGATTTCATCTCAAAGAATCAGTAGGTAAGAGCCAGGCATGGTGGTACACACCTGTAATCCCAGCACTCGGGAGGCTGAGGCAGGAGGATTGCCATGAGTTCGAGGCCAGCCTGGGCTACATAGTGAGTTCAAGGCTATAAACTTACAAAAAAAACTGAAGTGAAATTTTATGACATCTCTATTTTTTTTTTTGGTACCAGGGATTGAACTCAGGACCTTATGCTTGCCAGGCAGGCAAAATACCACTGAGCTAAATCACCAGCCCAGACATCTCTAAAGGAGAAATAACTCTGATCTAAGATGTAATGGAAGAAATCAAACACAAAGAAAATGAGTGATGGATTGACTACTAAAATTGTTAAATTATTTGTGTGCCAAAAAAAAAATCAATGGCAAACACCAAACTGAGAAAGGATACCTGCAACAGGTTAAGGATTAACATATATAAACACACTGTGTCAAGAAAAACAGTAAGAGCCAAGTGTTTAAATGAAAAAAGTACACAAACAGCCAACCCATAAATGAAGAAATACAACATTTTAACAACCACTTAAAGACACTCAGTTGCCAATCAGAGAAATCTAAGAAGTACAAAAAAAATAGGATGTGAATATAAAATAAAGAGTGAGATGCCAAATTTCAAGGTTTTTTTTAAACAAAAATACCCATTTCTAAGGAGGATGCAGTGAAATGAACACTCTCATCTATTACTAATAAACTTATAAACTGGAATAACAATGTAAGAAAAAAGATTTGATGGCAATGTATACGTAAAGAATCCTAAATTGTTCATGTTTTCTGACCTAGAAGTTCCACATTTTTAAATCACATAAGGAAATTATCACAATACAAAAAAAAGTTTCATTGTTGGAAATATTAATCATGGTAGATTTTATAATTTAAAAAACGGGGTCAGGTATGGTGACACATGCCTGTAACCCCAAAACTTGAAGGCTGCGACAGTAAGCTCACAAGTTTGAGGCCAAGGGTCTACATAGCAAGTCTCAGGGCAGCCTAAACTGGAGAGCAAGATCCTATCTCCAAGGAAAAAAAAAAGTAGAATGATTCAAATGTGAAAATCTGGGTAACTGACTAAGAAAAGTATCGTATACTCACCTGCTATACAGATTATTAAAAAGATGTACATAGTCACACAAGTATTAACTAGAAATAATCTTAACAAAAATGTGTATGACATATTATCATGTATCCATTAAAAATAATGTCCTAAAATCATCATCAGAACATTATATATGAGAGGGTTTTTTCATGCTAAGCATGATATGCACTAGAATATAATTTTGTAAAAACACATATATGCTCATAAAGCAATTCATTTTATTAAAATATTGAAGAAAATTTACATAATTTTCAATAATATTTGTATTTGGATATAAGAATGTTTATAATTTTCCTCTGTTCCCTGGTCTATGTTTTTCAAATTTTATATCACATAAATGTAAAATTAACCATTTTAATGGATTTATACTAAACTCTAGACTTTTTTTTAGGGAAAATAGCACTTTAAATGAAGGTGAGCTAGCCTATAAATAGAAGATTTCTTTTGTGCTTTATGAGATTCTGTTTTTTAGAACTGAACAGAAGAAAAAGGCAGTATGAGAAAGCCAAGTTTGGGGATTCAGAATGGGACAAAGAGGCAAGCATTGATTGGAAGAATACTTTAAAATACAGTTTGAAATGTATATGGAATGTGTTGTCTTTACAATAAAACTACAGAAACTAAAGTTCAACCAAATTTTTGTGGTGAATGGGAATAAACAAAAGATAGAAAGAGACACCATTCTGAATAAACTCTGAAATCAATGCATATTTGTTAGCTACATCTTATTATTCATGCCTATATGCCACCATTTACGTTATTTCTACTAGATGTCATAAGCATAAGCGTTTTGTTTTAAAATGAGTACACTGTCATTCTAAAATAAAATTTTATTTGTAATTGTAGTGTAGTACCAAAAAGAGGGAATGAAATATTTATCAAAAGGTACACTCAAGTCTAAAAGATTGAGAAACTCTGATAAAAGGTAATGTATCTTTGTGTCCTCCCTCTCCAACAGTCTAGCTATCATCCTAAAGTCCCATAAGACTTTGAGGCCTCAGTGTACCATTCAAAAGGCACAATAGGGGAACTCCCAACTTACCTACTCTTTTCTGCTACTTTTTGAGGAGGTTTTCAAAGAGAACTAAGAGTCATAAAACTGCATTTATGCAAGATTCACTTTGGGTAGAAACAAGTGCCTGAGAATTTCCAACCCACCTAAATTAATTTCATATGTGGCTCTGGCTTACTTGGCTAAATAGCTAAAGGCCTTCTCACTTCCATATTTCATTCACAGCTATCATTTGCAGAAGGCAAAACATGAATTACTATTTCTGTTTTATAAATATGGACACGGAGGCCTAGAGAATTTGAGTGACTTCCCCAGAATACACACGCTGGTTTCCTAATATCAGTCCAACACTCTTGGCAGTTAAAAAAAAAAAGATGGAATTTGCCTGAACAGTTAATTCATTTAGTCAAAAATATTTGCTGAGGGCCTATTATGTATCCAGCTATGTTCCTGGTACCAGAGACAATGTCCCTGCCCTCATGGAGATCACATGTTTGCAGTAAAACCCAGCAATATGTAAGAAAGCAAACAAATATCGAAGCACTTAGCTCCTTGAACAAAAAACAGAGTGTGACAGCAACGAAGAAAGGGCATTTATTCTAGATAGGGTGATCAAGGAAGTCCTCTGGAGGGAAGAACCAATTGAACAAATATGTGAATCAAATGTATGTTTGGCAGAGGAACAGTAAGTACAAAAATCCTAAGTGAGGAGCATGCTTGCGAAAGGTCCAGGTGATCAGTGAGGCTGAAATATTCAATGTATCTTACCATATATTGTCTACTGCCGTCTCCTCTGCTCATGCTTCTTTTAAACGTTAATTTTTACCTCTAGGTTAAGGAGTACATCCCTCCTCTGTCAGCTTCCCTATGAAGCAGCCTCTTTACCCACCAGTCATTCCTCTATCTTCTATTGATAAGAACACCTAAGAATCCTAGTGGTTCAACTCCGGAAAAACAATTGCACACGCATAACATAAGACCAGAACCCAAGAGATCAATAGCATCCACATATCTACCTTTAATCTTTTAAGATAAATATATTTAGCATGACCTAAGAATTGCCACAAACAAGGTTTGACCATTGCTTAAAATCAATTTACAATGAAAATCCTCTAACATCATCCTCAGTGCAATCTTTCTTCATTGACCTAGTAAGTACTTCAAAAACACGCAGGGTATCGTCAGGAACTAAACTCACTACCAAGCATTTTCCTTTGTTTTATTTCCATCTAGAACCTCCTGTGCAGGACTGGTATTTTCGTGGGTGTTTTCATCCTGCTAACAACAATGCTTGAGCTAGGTCTTTCCTTGGAAATGCCCCTAAGAGTACTAAAAGAAATCAACTGAAAAGAATATAATAATAATACCAATAGTGTACATTTACTGAACATTTACTATATCTCAAGTCCACTGCTCATTTTTATATGTACTATGGCATTTACTCTTCACAATTCGATAACATAGATCATAATATGATACTCATTTAATAAATGAGAAAACTGAAGGACTAAGACATTAATCTGCTGAGGTCACAAGCCTCACATCTGACTAACATCTGATTAGGTCTCAGATCTGCCTGCTGCTTCTGAAGCCCTGCAGCAAAGATGCAGGTGCATCTGATTCGAAAAGGGGCGATAGGCTGAGACATGCCTAGGCAAAAGACCAAAGCTAAACCATAACAAGGGTGTTTTCCCTCTCTGCTCTTTACAACTGTTCATAATCCTAGCTGTTACAAAAAAAGGGTCCTATTTCTGAAACCTCTGGTCCCCCACACAACTTCTTAAAAGGAAACTAAATAATCAGATCCAGAGAGAGACAGTTTTACTCACACACATATCCTCCCTCTCAGCATCCCGACCTAAATGGTATTGCATTCTTAAAGTAATGGACTCCATCTCTTAGTCTGCCTGCCTCTTCTCACTGGATGTGATGCACTTCCTTTGGGATGATATTTTCAAACCCATGTCGGGGAGAGACCTTTCCTTCCCTCAGGAGCTGATGGCCCCAAGTCTGAACAGTTGGCCATCCCATGGCTCCACCTTCCTTGCCTCTCCTAAACAGAAGTCTGGAGGCTGGATCTTTCCCAGAGTTCACTCATCAATTCTTCGCCATGTTTTCCCACCCCAAAGGACATTCAACACAGCTGCCACAAAAGACCTTCATGAGGCCCTTCTGGAGAGCAGAAGGCTCTGTAGATAAAACCACACTGAGGGACCTAGGCCAAAACATGTTCCACCACAGCCTTGGGATAAACCTGAGGAAGATTTGGGGCCACAGGGCAGGCCCTGGAGGAGACCCCAGAAGGCTTAGCCTCGACTGTCTGTGACTACCACATGCACCCTTGACAGGCTCAGACCTGTCATGTAGCCAGTCTGCTACCGCCGCCATGTACTCACAGCACACACAGGCAGTACACGCCCGGAACACTCTCGCTGTCCCTCAGCAAATAGCTGCCGTCCAACCCCGTGGCAAGCAGGAGCTTCTCCCCGGTCTCTCTGCTGATTTTACCGTGATATACAGCTACTGTATCCATGGCCTGGTGGATTCCAGCAGCTGAGGTGGGGGATTTTAAAAGGGAGATGCCACCGCCGTGGGTGCCTCTGCTAGGAAGGAGTCAACCACCTGACTCCCAGTTTAGCCAGATGTGCAAAATGAGACAAGCGCCCAAACAACAGGATGTTGTCTACCTGCTTTAAAACCTCCCTCTCACACTTCAATTAAAACCAGCTCAGCAATTTAAAGGCGTTCTATCAAATTTGTCACAGTTCGATCTGGCTCTCCAACACAGGATTTTTACGGACAGGGGAGGAACACTGGAAGGAGGACCCAAGCTTTGGGCTGTACTCCCAATGTAGACCTTGAATACAGACAAGCAGACAAGAGTGCTTGATAATGCTTCAGTACTTGCATTTTCCTCCAGAGCCACCAGAGATGATTTAGCTTAACTAGTTTCCAAATGGGTTGACAATAGAGGCATGTCATAATGTGGGAAAGAAACACACTGACAAAATGAAAAGACCAAAAGCTCTAAGATCAGAACACTCAAAGTATCAGTACAAAATCACTAATGAACATACCCATATGGCTTCTGTAGAATCAGAAGTAGTAGGAAAACAATGAATTTGGGGCAAGTTCTTCCTCTCCTTCCTTCTCCTCCTACTTCATGTGGTCATCTTGAACAATCGTGTGTGTGTGTGTGTGTGTGTGTGTGTGTGTGTGTGTGTTGCTAGGGATAGAACCTGGGGTATTTCACATGCTAGGCAAGTGCTCAACTACTGACTATAGATCAGTACCATTTGAACAATGTTGGTCCTGAGCAAATATTTATTTTTAAGTAACAGCATTAGTAAAGATTTTTTTAAAAAATTGCTGACAAAATATTCTATTTTGCACAATTTAAAAAAAACTCATCTCAATTGGCCAGAGGTTTTATAAAAGTTGTAATAAACTGCTGTTATGGAAAGAAGCCCTATCTTCCCAGAGGCACACCTGACCACTGGCTCTTTCCAGGGAGCAGAGAGGCTGGTAGTCAAGTCCAGACTGAGACACGAGGGCTTAACAACATGGATCCCTTTCAAATGGATCTTCTTTATGTTTTGTTCAGCAGATAGGAAAATAAAGGCTTAAGGAGGGGAGGCTGAGAATGCCAATCACTACTGGCAACCCAGTTTGGGCCCTGAACTTGTCATATCCGGCCAGTGAAACCAAGCCCTTGTGGCTACTGAGCTCCCTCCTCTTAGAAGGCAGTTCAGCATCTGATGTCTTGGATTCCTTCATTGCTCATCAGAGCTCATCCTTTGGAGTTTCAGCAATTTCACACTCAATGCATGTATGAAAATACCACAGTGAATTTCGCTAATTTTCATGATTAATATGTGTTAATAGTAATAACAAGGATTGGCAATCTTAAAATAATTTCAAATTTAAACCTCTTTATAAAAGAATTTCTTCCAACACGTTGCATTTCTCTCCCTGGAAAGTGTTCCAGTGCGTATGGCGTCTCCATCTCCTCACATCTCTATGGATGCTGTAGCAGAGTCTTGGGCAGTGGTGCTACAGAGCCACCTTTAACCTAGCCAGGGCCAAAGGGGTGTGGCTCAGTGCCTCCTGCCACCACCCACTCCCTCCCTTGGGGTTGACTTTTCAGATGTGTGGGAGCCACCTGCAGAGTTTCTGCACATGATGGAGCCTTTCTCCAACACCTATCCTCCCAGCTGGCATATCAGAAGCCCTTGGGGAGCTCTACAAAATGCCCAGTGCCAGGCTGTGCCGCTGACAAATACACAACAAGCCCCAAGGTACAGTCAGGCAGAAGTAGTCCTGAAAGCTTCCCAGTGATTACAATATGTGGCAAAGGCTGAGCTCCATAGCTTTTTTTTTTTTTTCTAAAACTCTTTTATTGGTACATTTTAGGTATACAATACTTTTACATTTATCACTGGGTGCTTGTACCCGTACATGATGTATCTTGGCTCTTATTTTTTCCCCATTACCTGTGCACCCTTCACCCCTTCCACCCTTCCCTATTTACATAGACTTCGTTTCCATTTTTTTTCTTTTCTCATAATTTTTCCTTTCCTTTCTTTTCTTTCCCCTTCCCCTCCCACCACCCCTACAACTTTGGATCTTTTCCTATTTCAAATTATCAATTATTCGTTTTAATCATTTTCATCCTTATTTACACTTTCAGTTTCTCACACTAGAGAAACGATTTGGTATTTACACATGTGTGTCCT